AAACACTGCGCCACCATTCCTTCCAAAATACTTTCACTTCCTCTAAAAACCTAAGAAAATGGCTAAACTGATTTCAGTTTATCCATGGAAAATATGACACCATGCCAGTGGCGCCAGTTTGAGTTCGCTCCCAGACTTCTCAGTCTCATGTTATATTGGACATGCACCTACGTGCTTTAGCGGTATTCTGTAATAGATTGTTTTTTAAAAAAAATGTTTTCCCTGATGTGGTGCTGTGCCCTCAATCTACCTTACATGGCTGGGTGAAGTCTATCGTCAGGTTGGACACTGTTGTATGCATTCTAATTGAAAGAAATTTGACTAGATTACATTATGTGCAGAAACCTGGTTTCTGTTTTGTTCTGTTAAAAAACCCGTTTAATTACTTCAAGTGTCTATTTGGAATGAGCTAAGTTTTTATTTGAAACAAAAATAAAAGTTTAAAAATAGACTGAAATCTAATAAAGGGCAAGGGAAATTAAACTCACCCATGTAATAAACAGTTGTTGTATTGTCATCGAAGTACCAGTCTCCATTTTTATTGTTGGTGAAATTCAGAGGCTGTGATGATCCGTTTCTTATATCAATGATACGGAACATATCTGGATGCTGAGTCAGATTGTGGGAAATTATTACGTAGTCTGCTTCCTGTTGGAATGAATTGCGAAGCAGTTTGTTAAGTTAAACATCATCAGAAATGTAACGTAAAATTTCCTTAAACACACACAGCCTTATTCAGTGGTTAACAGTGGTATGTACAATAGGTCTTACAGTAACTGCTCTGTTTCCAATACACAGGGAAGGTTCCAACCTCTTCTTCCAACTAGTCTGAAATTTCTTTACATTTATTTTTAAATTAACTATTATTCCAGAAGGGGTGACACAGCTTTTTCCAATGGACAAGGTTAAAAAGCAATCACTGTACTTTATATCTACATTCATGTACCATAAAAGGTGGAGATTGCCTTTTCCAAAATCCTGAAGATTACCTTGAAGCCATAAAACATGGAACTGTATGAAATGTCTGTGATATGATCCTCTTGTTCAAAGCGCCAATTGAAGGTGTCTGAGTTAGGAAGCAAAGCCATCCAGCCAGGTCTGTGGGTCAGTCTTTTCACTAAGTAAGGAACCACACTGATGCCTGTGTTATAAATCAGAGAAAGGACCAGTTCAGAATCTTTCAATAAAACACAAATAACATACATGCACTAATTACAACAACACATTTCAGTAAAATCCTTTGTAAAATTCTAAAACAAGAACAAAAAACGAGAGAAGAAAGGCATGTTTCAAGTGCTAGTTATAAATGTTAAATTATTGTACTGGGTTTTGCAGGGGTCTAACAATAAATAATTCTACTTCTGCTACCTAAAATTTTTTAAGCAATCATTGGTTACATAAATAACTTCCAGTATTATAAAAATCTATATCCTGTAAAAGAAATGTGCCTTTTACTGTATGAGTCACTGTAAGAGACAAAAAACAGAGATGGAACATCTTTGATTGATGAAACAGTAAATCACTGCAAGATTTAATAATGAGAGAGATTGTTTTTTTTTTAATCACAAAGGATGTTGGTTGGTTATATAACCCTCTTGCTCTCTCTACTACCATCCGGAAGATGATACCGAAGATGATACAGCCAACCCCAGAAGACGCCTGCAGTTACCTCTTTGAACTGACAGGGGGCACCAGGCACCCTCCTGTCACTTGCGCTCTCAGGACACATACTGTATAAAGAGCGCTAAATACCTCCTACCCTTGTGTTACTTTCCCACGATCTGTAATGCGTATTGTAAATTGCAATGGTGTAATTAATTGTATCCTAATGTTAATCTAATCCCTATAGATTCTACGGTCCTATCCCTCTGACGAGCTCGCAGACAAAGCATTTCATTGCCGACAAAACCCCGCTGTCTGCTGTACTGTTGGTGCATTGATCAATAAACCTTGATTGATTGATTGATTGATTGATTGTTCAGCTGTACCGTGGGAGTTGGACAGGATTATGTTCTTTGCCAGAAGAGAGGAAGGGCTGGGGTTGTTGAGGGCGAGCCGATGGAAGCTCACTGTGGCATCACACACGGCTCCGGGATATCCCACACTCCACTCGGCTTTTTCTGTACAGTGCAACGGGTCCAGGAGGCCACTCCGGGGCACCACCTTGTGGTTACGATTCCCTGGAGACACATGAAATGGGGCCTGTTGCAGTATAACCATAGTAGAGATACTGTAGGAAAACTGGAAACAGCCAGCTGGCAGGACTATGAAAACCTTGGCACTTTCCTCCTCTTCCAAAGTATGTTTTAGAAGAAGAGATTATCTGACTTAAAACGTCTCAAAAAGCTA